ACACCGTCTCAGCTGGAGGTGTGGACCTGGGGAGGCGGGAGGTGAAGGAGGAAAGGCAGGGCTGGGGGCTACCTGGGAGGTCTTCTCTTGAGCCGTCAGCAGATGCCTATCTACTTGCCATCACCCATGACTATGCTGTGTTCCCCCCGTTATCCCGCCTTCCCACCCCCAACACACGCCAATCCCTCACTAGGCTGATCAGGTCAAAACCAGGCAGGGATACCTCCAGCGCTTCCCAGGGGCACCCCTCCTGCGAGATGCCGAGCACAGAAACTTGCTGCTGGCTCGGGCGCCACACCCACACCCTCTCTGGGATCCCAGGCCAGGCTCCTTCCCGAGGCCGAACACGGTGCAGCAGCCCCGGACATTCTGGACACACACTGTGTGGGCTGGCTACCGGGTCCCAGGCATGAGATCCTAGATGCCAGCGGGAAGGGAGGTGACCCAGTTACTGCTTCCGAGAGCTGCTCCTCCCACATGACATTCTGCCGCCTGGAGAATCTCATCTGGGAACAAGCTGGAGACCCCCCTTAAGCTAAATACCATGTAGAGACCCTCATCACCTGAGCCCTATCTGGAGACCCCGCTCTGAGTCCCACCTGGAGATCCTCATCTGAGCCTCACATGGAGACCCCCTCATCATCTGGCTCCACCTGGAAACCCCCCATCATCTGAGCCCCGCCTGGAGACCCCCATCATCTGAGCCCTGCCTGCAGACCCCCATCATCTTAGCCTCGCCTGGAGACCCTCATCATCTGAACCCCACCTGGAGACCCCCATCGTCTGAGCCCCGCCTGGAGACCCCCATCATCTGAGCCCCGCCTGGAGATCCTCATCGTCTGAGCCCCGCCTGAAGACCCTCATCGTCTGAGCCCCGCCTGGAGACCCCTGTCGTCTGAGCCCCACCTGGAGACCCTCATCATCTGAGCTTCACCACCCACAGCCCAGGAATGGGCTCCTCCTCTGAGATCCCACACTCCCCCAGGCAGGCCCATGTGCACTCAGCCCCACTGTAGGGGGCCCTGCCTTAGCGTCCACTTCAGACTGCCGGCTCCGGGGTCAGCTGCCCTGGCCCTGAGGGGTGCTCTGTGCTGTCTGGCCAAGCGTGTGTGAAAGAGGGGACGCAACACCAGCCTAGGAGACAGGGAACCGGGCACTGGGCTCAGAGGGATCGACACCCACCCGCCCCCAACTCCTCTGGGTGCAAAGCTTGAAATGTCAAGTCCTCCGCGGTTCCCGGGCACACGAGCAGAGTGGACTCTAGGATACCCATGGTTCCTGCCAAACCGTCTTACGCAGCAGGGAAATGTGTAATCCCGTGACAGGTGAACCAATGACAGCTTTCTTTTAAGGAGAAACGTATGACTTCATTCAATTTCCTGCAGGAAAAATCACAGCTACTCAACATGCCTTCAGGTTAACCATTAAAGTGCAGGATGGATGGATGGATGGATGGATGAAAGGATGGATGGATGGATGGATGGATGGTGGAGATAGTGAGATAGACAGATGAATGGATAGACAGACAGATATAGATAGATATAGATCCATGGATGGATGGATGGACAAACTCAGAGACAGAGGGATAGATAGGAAGGGAGAGATAGATAGAGGGATGGAGTGAGGGAAATAAACAGAGAGATGACAGATTGATGGACAACATAAAATACATCCGTGTGTTAGTTGCTCAATCATGTCTGACTCTCTGTGACCCCATGGACTGTAGCCCACCAGGCTCCTCTGTCCAGAAATTCCAGGCCCGAATACAGGAGTGGGTAGCGGTTCCCTTCTCCAGGGGACGTTCCCCGACCCAGAGATTGAACCTGGATCTCCTGCATCGTAGGCAGATTCTTTACCGTCTAAGCCCCAAGACATCAAGGAAGAAAATACATAGATAAACATAAAAGATAAATTAATAATAAATATATAAATGACACATTGGCATTGGATGGCATCACCGACTCCATGGACACGAGTCTGAGCAAACTCCAGAAGATGGTGAAGGACACGGAAGCCTGGCGTGCTGCCATCCATGGGGTCACGGAATCAGACACAAATGAGCAACTGAACAATATAGGTGACAATGAACAGATACATAGAAAGATGACAGATACAAAGAGATACATGATAAACTGACAGATCACAGATACATAGACACAGAAATACATAGATGATACAGACATTAGATACAAATGATAAAAAGGTGAACAGATGTTCAGTAAATAGAAAAGAGATATATGCATAGATGACAGATCTACTAATATGTAGATGATAAAAATGTGGATAGATGACACATATGTAATACATGGATGATAAATGACTATAAAAAAGAATATAATCATAGAATATAAAAGTATACATATTTATATAAATACATATACTTATGTTTATATATATTTATGATTATATTCTTTTGAGCAAGCTGGTGTTGGTGCAAGCTGGTTGGTTTTGAGCAAGTTGGAGTTGGTGATGGACAGGGAAGCCTGGCGTGCTGCAGTCCACGGGGTCGCAAAGAGTCGGACACGACTGAGCGACTGAACTGAATAATTATAGTTTACGTGTTTCGGCTGTGAAATGAAAACATCTCCTGTCATAGCAATAAACAAGAAATGTCCCAGCCATCAGCAATGTTTGGTCTCCAAATGTGAATGAATGTGTGTTAGTCACTCACTCTGATTGCAACTGCATGGACTGTAGCCTGCCAGGCTTCCCTGTCCGTGGGATCCTCCAGGCAACACTGGAGTGGGTAGCCGTGCCCCCCTCCAGGGGATCTTCCCGACCCAAGGATTGAACCCGCGTCTCTGCATTGGCAGGCACGTTCTTTACCACTAGCTCCACCTGGAAGCCACGGGTCGGCAAGCAGGAGACGCCTCCCACCCACGTGGGACCACAAGGTCACAGCCGCCAGAGCTCAGAAGGTGGCCAGGGGCCCCCCACCACGCCCAGGTCCCAGCCACACGTCTGCGGGACGTGAGAGGCACAGAAGCGCTTGTGCGTCCGAGCAGAGCTGCAAAGCCAGTCCTGGGGCCCAAAACAGCTGCAGAACATCCAGCATCGTGTCTGAATTCTGTAGTAATTTACAGGATAGGGACCCACGGGGCTGCACATTCCCAACGAGAAGAATTCTAGCTAAGCGTCAGGGTTGGTCCGCCCTGCGCTGGGAACCCAGGAACATGAGCAGTCAGAGCAATGGCTTGCAGGGGTTTCAGAAGCTTGAAGGGTCCCCACCTTTTCAGAGGTTCAGGTCCTGCTCACGGGGCAGCCAAGACCAAGACCGCCAGGGTCTCTTTGCAAATCCGCCCAGGACTGCCCCTCATCCCGAGCGGAGATAAGTCGTGACTCCAAAAGTAGCCTGAGTTGGGGAAGTCCCAACATCGTTTGGAATTCAAAGAAACAATTCAGGAAGAAGTAACTCCTGAAACAGGCTTTGCTGAGGGCTCACTGGTAAAGAATCGGTCTGCCGATGCAGGAAACGTGGGTTCGATCCCTGGACCGGGAAGATCCCCTGGAGAAGGGAATGGCCACCCACTTCAGTATTCTTGCCTGGAGCATCCCCATGGACAGAGGAGCCTGGCGGGCTATAAGTCCATGGGGTCGCAGAGAGTTGGACACGACTGAGCGACTCACACACAGGTGCTAAAACTCCCATCAGAAACGAAGAAGTTACCTATTTGATGATCACGAGCCCCCAGACCTACCGGTGCCCGAGGGCGGGTAACGTCCACCCCTGTGACCCGGCCCTGTCACCTCACCGTCCATCAGAGGCCCCGTGCACGAGCCGCCCGCAGACCCCGGAATGTCCCTCCACCACCGGGCCTTTCAAGATGCATTTCCGGGGCTTCCCTGGCGGCTCAGAGGTAAAGAGGCCACCTCCCGGAAAAACGCAAGAGACGAGGGGTTCGGTCCCTGACCCGGGAGGATCCCTTTGGAGCAACAAAAGCGCGCAGGCCACAACTGCTGAACCCACGGGCCGCAGCTACTGAAGCCCACGGATCCTAGGCCCCGCGGTCCACAAGAGGAGGGGGTAACAGGCGGGACGGCCAGGGGTCTCCAAACGGAGGAAATAGGCTGCAAGCGTCAGACGCTCTCTCTCTCAAGCGCCAGGAGGAGACAAACGTCAGATACCTTTTCCCTTCTCTGAACAAAATTCAAAGGAGGTTTCTTTCAAAGTTCTGTGTTGCCAAGATGACACCTGGTCCCACCTGAACTTGACTTTTCTCAAACCTTGAGCAAACCAATGCGTTTTCTTAGGGAAATGGCCTTCTTAAGCTATGTGAACAAACTGTGTATTTACCCTAGACTCTGCCTGTCTTCAAGTAGGTTCTGCCTAAGACTCGGAACCGATAAGGGCTCGACAAACCAGTACGTTTTACTCATACATTGTTTTCCTAATGTATGTTACTGGAACTATATATTTGCGTAGAAACCTGCCTTTCTTCAAGATCCACATCAACCACTTAATGGTCCGGGATGACCCACCAGGTGCCAGTGTTATCTGAAAATGCGGGTTGTGGGTGAGGGGCCCGGTGCCACTCTCTGAGTTTTGAGACACAACCTTTCTCTAATTAGCAGACTGCTAGTAGCTATGTAACATCCAGCTAAAGACTAACAGGGAGACACTCTCTCTGCCCCCTCCTGATGTCTATGCCAGAAGCTCTCTCTATCTCTTTTACACTTTAATAAAACTTTATTTACACAGAAGCTCTGAGCAATCAAGCCTTGTCACGGGCCCCGGATTGAATTCGTCTCCTCCGGAGGCCGAGAGTCCCGGCATCTTTCACGGGGTTCAGCATCAACCTTTCAAAGAGAATCCACGGCAATGAGAAGCCTGCAAACCACGGGCAGACCAGACCCTGCTCGCTGCCCCCAGAAGCAGCCTGCATGCACTAAAGGAGACCCAGTGCGGCCAAACAGTAATAAATAAATTCAAAGAAAATAAATTTTAAATGCTTTACCAAAATCCAGCAGCGAGTTTCAGGGTCTTTTGAGCATACACTGACCATCCTCCTCGCCTGGGGCCTCCAATAAACACTGCATTTTCTTCACTACGACCTGCGGTCTGCAGACTAGCTTTACTGCGTGCAGCGGGGGAAAGACTCAGGTTTGGATCGGTAACAGTTTCAGCCTTGCTGACCAAAGCCACTGGAAAGGAAAGCTCTCCTTTCGCTTGGAGAGACTGTCGACAGAGAACGCGTAGCCTGGTGAGCTGGGCTCAACTCGGGGGAAGGGACATCGGAGGAACCCGGATCAGACCTCAACTGACTTGGGCTCAGCCCAGTGGCTTTTTGACTGAGCTGTGCTTAGAAGCCACGGGACCTTGCTGGTGGCCCTGAGGGTAAAAGAATCTGCTTACGACACAGGAGGCCTGGGTTCCATCCCTGGGTTGGGAAGATTGCCCTTGGAGTAGGGGATGGCAACCCACTCGAGCGTTCGTGCCTGCAGAATGCCATGGACAGAGGAGCCTGGCGGGCTACAGTCCATGGGGTTGCAGACAGTTGGACACAACTAAGCAACTAATGCTATTACTACTTCTAGGAGCCACAGACGGCCCCCGGCGGATGGTTAAACATCGGCGTACAGGACAGATTTAACAGTCAAAGGGAGCAAGCTACACGGGCACAGAATCGAGATGTGTGTGGAAACAGACGCGGGCTGTTTCTCCAACCAGATGAACTGCACAGACTCAGATTTCGGTCCCAGAAAGAAGGAAAATGGCAGAAAAACCTCCTGCTGCAGGAGGACGGGGAAGCTCTGGCCCTTGGGGCTTACCACACTTCTTGGTCAGATGGTGAGTATGTTTATCAATGCGTTTCATGTTTCTCAACAACAGAAACACAATCAAAAAGAACAGGAATACCCTCTCACAGTAGCTGATGGGAATGTAAATGGATGCAGCCACCACAGACAAGAGTACGCAAGTTCCTCAAAAAAAAAAAAAAAAATCTAAAAATAGAGTTACCGAATCGTCCTGCAATCCCACTCCTGGGCATATATATCTGGAGAAAGCCATCGTTCTAAAAGATACATGCGTCCCAATGTTCACTGAAGCACTCATCACAATAGCCAAGAAATGGAAGCAACCTAGATGTCCATCAGTAAAGGAATGGGTAAAAAAGAGGCGGTACATATGCATATGATGGAATATTACTCAGCCATGAAAAAGAATGAAGAATACCACTTGCAGCGAGATGAACCAACCTAGAGATGATCACCCTGAGTGAAACACATGAGAAAGAGAAAGACAAACACCATATGGTATGATTTCCATACCATGTGAAATCTTAAAAAAAAAAAAAATGAGATAAATTGATGCATTTACAAGACAGAAAGAGACTCACAGACTTAGCAAAGTTTTGGTTCCCCAAGGGGAAAGGGGAGCAGGGAAAGATGAGGAACTCGGGACTAACAGATCCATCCTGCTGTATATGAACTAAGAAGCAACGAGCTAGCATATCGCCCAGGGGACTAAATTCAGTCTCTTGCCGTAACCTACAGTGGGAAGGAATACGAAAAGAGAATATGGACATGCGGATAGATAGATAGGTAGGTAGATGTGAGACTGAATCAAAAAAACACCACAGAATCATGTAGCACTTCACTGTATTTGAAGTATTACACATAAATAATTTGAATACACACACACACACACACACAATGGAATATTACTCGGCCATAACCAAGAACAAATGTTTGCAACCTCCGACAACACAGATGCACTCCGAGGGTGTTACATCTAGTGAAATAAATCACACGGAAACAGCATGTTACCACCTATAAGCAGAATCTAAACTGTTTAATGAATAAATGTGTCAAAAAGAAACAGACTCGCAGATCCAGAGAACCAACTGGTGATTAGCACTGGCGGAAGGGTGCAGGGGAAGGTCAGGATGCGGGGGAAGGGGATTAAGAGATAGATACCACTACATTAAGAGATACAAAGTACTACGTATAAAATAAATAAGCTACAAGGATATAGTGCAGGAGGCAGAGAGGATCGCCAACGTTTTGTAACCACTTTAAACAGAATTATAAGCTAAAAAAAGGTGTGAATCGCTGTGAATGTCAAAGTCGCTCGGCCGTGTCCGACTCTTTGCGAGCCCATGGACTAGACAGTCCGTGGAATTCTCCAGGCCAGAACACTGGAGTGGGTAGCCGTTCCCTTCTCCAGGGGATCTTCCCACCCCAGGAACCGGACCGGCGTCTCCTGCCCTGCAGACAGATTCTTTACCAGCTGAGCCACCAAGGAAACCCAAGAACACTGGAGTGGGCAGCCTTTCCCTTCTCCAGGGGGATCTTGCCAACCCAGGGATGGAACCCAAGTCTCCCGCATTGCAGGCGGATTCTTTACCAGCTGAGCCACCGCGGAAGCCCGTCCGAAAAGCAGGACAAGCCGTGAAAACCCACCGTGTTCTCAGCACGCTTGGCTATTTGCTTCCCCGAGCCTCGGTGAAGAAGCCGTGTCCCTCGGACCCAGAATGACCTCCACGGGAATCAGGGGAGCATGGAGACTTGATCAAGACTCAAAACGTGAATGCCCCCCACCCCCGCCCCGGGGGAAGGACGGGAAGAGAAAGCGGACGCGATGACCTGACGAGGTCCACTGGGGAAACCTGATGAACAGTCGCCCGCCCCCACGTTCTCCTTCCAGAGGCTGGCCACTGCGAGATGCTACCACGGGACTCTGCTGATCCCGGGCCGGGGACCACTCAGGGAAGACTTCCTCCCCCTCTCCCCGGCCAGATCACACCTGTTGTCACCGCCTCACTTTACAAGGGCTTCAAGACACAGCTCCCGGGGGCCCCCCCAGCTACCTCCACCCAGGTCGTCCGCCTGCAAATCAGCCCGACATCGGAGGACCAGGGGCCGGGAATGCCTCCTCTGCCCCTTCGCTCAAAACAAACATGTACAACCCTGATCTATGCTTCCTTTCAGCCCATCCTCCTAGGGGCTGCTCGGAATACACACAACAGTACCCTTCCACACACAAGAAAAAAAATAAAAATGGAACATCTGAGAACCGTGACTTCAGCGTGACTTTACTGAGCATGGAACAAACAGCGCTTAGAGGAAGCAGAGAATCGGGACTTTGACGGCTAGACCTGAGCATGAAACACACTCCATTTCCTGGAAGCAGAGTCCTGGGCAGACCCAGGTAAGACATGTTCATGACGGTTAGGGGCCGTGTCTTTACACAAGTTCTGGATGCTGGCAGTGACGTTTTATCTGAGACATTTACGGACACGTTCCACTTTTGTGTCCGATGGAGACAGCTCTGAAAGTGGCAGGTTTTCATGACTGAGCCCTGGCCTATTTAAGCCCAAAGTGTTGGTGCAGAAAAATATTGGATGTATGATGTGGCATCCCGGAGCCACCTCGGAAGAGAGGCAACCCATAAAAATGCAGACAAGGAAAAAGAGGACGGAGGCTAACCTCTGAGGCTGTTTCTGGAGAAGCTTGTCTTCTTAAAAGATAGGAGAGTGGGGGAGGGAGCAGGGAGAGATAGGGGGAGATGGGAAAGAAAGCATCTAGCCCTGGTGGTACACAGGGTCCGTCATCACTGTGTAAAGGATCAGGATGGACGTGGACACACGGCTGTGTTTACCATGGAGAACCAGCAAGGACCTGCTGGCCAGCTCAGGGAACTCTGCTCAATACTCTGTGATAACCTGATGGTCCCCAGGGGGAAGGATGGGGGAGGGACAGTCAGGGAGTCTGGGATGGACATGGACACGCTGCTGTGTTTAACATGGAGAACCAGCAAGGACCTGCTGGGCAGCCCAGGGAACTCTGCTCAATACTCTGTGATAACCTTATGGTCCCCAGGGGGAAGGATGGAGGAAGGGACAGTCAGGGAGTCTGGGATGGACATGGACACACGGCTGTGTTTAACATGGAGAACCAGCAAGGACCTGCTGGCCAGCTCAGGGAACTCTGCTCAGTACTCTGTGATAACCTGATGGTCACCAGGGGGAAGGATGGGGGAAGGGATAGTCAGGGAGTCTAGGATGGACGTGGACACACGGCTGTGTTTAACATGGAGAACCAGCAAGGACTTGCTGGACAGCCCAGGGAACTCCACTCAATACTCTGTGATAACCTGATGGTCCCCAGGGGGAAGGATGGGGGAAGGGACAGTCAGGGAGTCTAGGATGGACGTGGACACGCTGCTGTGTTTAACATGGAGAACCAGCAAGGACTTGCTGGCCAGCCCAGGGAAGTCTGCTCAATACTCTGTGATAACCTGATGGTCCCCAGGGAGAAGGATGGGGGAGGGACAGTCAGGGAGTCTGGGATGGACATGGACACGCGGCTGTGTTTACCATGGAGAACCAGCAAGGACCTGATGGACAGCACAGGGAACTCTGTTCAATACTCTGTAATAACCTGATGGTCACCGGGGGGAAGGATGGGGGAGGGATAGTCAGGGAGTCTGGGATGGACATGGACACACGGCTGTGTTTAACATTGAGAACCAGCAAGGACCTGCTGGCCAGCCCAGGGAACTCTGCTCAACACTCTGTGATAACCTGATGGTCACCAGGGGGAAGGATGGGGGAGGGACAGTCAGGGAGTCTGGGGTGGACGTGGACACGCTGCTGTGTTTAACATGGAGAACCAGCAAGGACCTGCTGGACAGCCCAGGGAACTCTGCTCAGTACTCTGTGATAACCTGATGGTCCCCAGGGGGAAGGATGGGGGAGGGATAGTCAGGGAGTCTGGGATGGACATGGACACACGGCTGTGTTTAACATGGAGAACCAGCAAGGACCTGCTGGCCAGCACAGGGAACTCTGCTCAATACTCTGTGATAACCTGATGGTCACCAGGGGGAAGGATGGGGGAAGGGACAGTCAGGGAGTCTGGGATGGATGTGGACACATGGCTGTGTTTAACATGGAGAACCGGCAAGGACCTGCTGGCCAGCACAGGGAAGTTTGCTCAATACTCTGTGATAACCTGATGGTCACCAGGGGGAAGGATGGGGGGAGGGACAGTCAGGGAGTCTGGGATGGACATGGACACACGGCTGGATGTAC